ATATATATATATATATATATATATATATATATATATATATATGGCTGAGGGAGATCCAAAGATAGAGGGTTGGTTATTTGTCAAAGACATTTCTGCAGAAAAGCTAGATGGAAAAACTGACTGTCACCACAGGGTGGACAGGTCAGTAGGTTGATCAATATCCTGCCAGGTGGATATAATGCTAGATTGATTGCTAGACATGGGGTTAGACAGGTACATTTATATGTCACTGGGGAGCTCATTATATTGGTATATAGTTCTTGTGGCACATGTAAAGTATGACATGGGGGAATTGGGGAGGGGGTGGTGGAATAATACTGTCGCTGCTAGAATAGTCATTGTTATGTGGTGCCAAAACCCACAGGTAGAGGAAAAGAGTACCCATGCTTTTAAGGAATCTATGTCTTTTTCCGACGGCTTTTTCTCAGAATGGCTTGCAGACTGGCTTCTAGGATTGCTAATTTTATAACCAGAACCCTGGATGTACCCAGAATTACCTTCAGAATTAACTAAGGAGAGACTAATAATTAAAGAATTAAAAGAAGCCAGGCTGCTAGAAGGTGTCTGCTGACTTAGAAGTATACAGAGGAACACAGAACCTGGAGAAATAATTATTGCTGAAAGCCATCACTAGCACTAACATTAGGACAGCACCACGGACAGCTCCCAAGCATTTTGGAATTGCCTTCTGTGTTTGGTGCCAGAGCCTGGGGTAAAACAGCCAGCTCAGGAATCCTCTGTGCACTCTCTTACCATCTTCATTCAGGCCGACTGAGAAAATCCATACATGAAATGGGCTCTCTGCTCCGTAACTTAGACCCTTGGCTTAGAGTCCACTCAGTGAATTTCCTTGCAACCTCAAGAGCTTGAGTCTGACCCCTCCCCACCTCTCACCAGTTCCCAAGACAGAGAAGAAGATCATCTTGGCCTCTGACCCATTTTATCCTTGAGATTATCCAAAGACCAGAGGATTTCCCTAGGATACTCACTGTGTGGAGCGAAAGCCATTAAGGAACGGAACCAAAGAAGTAATTGCATGCAAGAATGTGGACTTGGATGGGAGAATGTTTAAATAAGCTCTGAAAGAAACAGGCTGCCAAGACCAATTACCTAATTAAAGGGGACTAAAAAGATTCCATCTCTATTTCACTGCAATCCAGAACACAGGTCTTCACGGTGAAAGGGTCTTAAAATGGACTCCCCAGCTGAAGTGGAAAAAATTTCTAACTGTTCCACGTGAGGAGGGACCACTGGTAAATGAGCCAAGATGCTGCAGGACAAAGGAATGCCTTCAGAGAAAGTAAAGGAAGATCTCTCTTTTGTTGTGTTTTTTTGAACAAATATTTGTGTTCCAAAAGAAACATGCCTGCTTCCTGTTGGAAAATCATGAAGTTTTTTGGGGAAATCTTTCAAGTTTCTCATTGTGAGGATAATATCCATTTGTATGAAATGTAGATATTCCTGGAAATAGCCCCAATTTCTCCTTTATAAAGGGGACAGTGCCAAGAGTGCCAGAAGCTGATGTTACTATGAACCAGTGGACATTACCCTTGGATTAAATGTGCCTCTGACCTCCAAGAACTCTTACATGGAGTAGCTTAACAGTCAGGCACAACAGTTCAAAATTGTTAAAGATCCAGAGATAAGTTCCCATCTCTCCAATATCTCACCAAATAACTTAGGGACTGACTTCCCTTGGAGGAATTTCTCAGAAGGTCAGGTTGCTCACTGAGGTATAAAATGGAAAGAAGGGTGCTTATGCCAGGCCTGCAAGGAAGCCTTTGATGGTCTGGTGGTCATAGAGTGTCCAGTGCTTTATAGAAAGAGGCACCCCAAAGTACACAGAATCCCCATTCCCAAGAGCTACGTGTTTTCGGCACCCTGCCCAGGCCTACCACTCTTGAGCGTTAGATGTTTAGGGGAATGGAGAGCGTGCTAAAGCTGGTCTGGTTTTGTTTTGTTGCAGAGGTGTCAGACAGGAAGCTGACTGTGGAGGAAGAGGAAGCCAAGAGGATAGCAGAAATGGGAAAGCCAGTATTGGGTAAACACCCCAAACTAGAGGTCATCATTGAAGAGTCCTATGAGTTCAAGGTCAGGCCATAAGTGAAGTCGAATTGAGTAGTGGACCGGTGGGAGGGAGACGACCCAGAGTTTTGATCCCATTTTACCACTGAATTTGTGAACTTGTCGTGCTGACCATTTTGTATCCAAGGACTATTGTGAGGACACACAACATAGCATATGGAATAAACGGGCCCTAAAGCTTCTAGATGTGTCATTGCTATGGCTTAACTGTATTTTTAAAACAAAGATACTAAAATTTACTACTCCAGAGCAAGGTTTATTGATATTATCACTGTTGTTCTCTGTGGTATTACTCTAAATATCCAATGTCAGCAGTCACAACCACAGGAAAGGGAAATGGAAGGACTGCCCCAGCAGCTACCCCGCAAGGCCATTCCATGCGTAACTTGCAGAATGCACGCGGAGCGCCCTGGGATGGAGGGCGTCTTTCATTCCCTTGAAACACTAGACTCCTCAGTGGTTCTGAGCATTCTAACCTCATGGTTCCAAGTTTGTATCTCCCTGACAGAAAACGGTGGACAAACTGATCAAGAAGACAAATATGGCCTTGGTCGTGGGGACCCATTCCTGGAGGGACCAATTCATGGAGGCCATCACCGTCAGTGCAGGTGAGAGGGTCTCAGGATGGGCACAGGCCTTGCTTGGAGAAGCAGGTAACAGGAGAGGAATAAAACAGCCACATCGACAGCCTGCCAGTTTCTGGGAAGACCTCTGTGTCTGGTCTCTCCAGCTCTAGCCCAGATGCTTGTCTGTTTCACTAGGTCAGATTGACCAGTGGGACACCCCAGCTCATTCCCATTGGGGAGGAATCATGGGGCAACTAAAAGAGCAGGGCTATCTCTGGCTCAAGACCTGGTTCTGCCGTCCGAACTGGGACAAGTTATCCTATCTGGGCCTCAATTTCCTTATCCCAAAAGGGAACTTTTGCTACCTTTCTCAGAAAAGTCAGTAGACAGGTATCTCACTGTGAGGATAAGATCCACTGGTATGAAATATGGATATTTAGTCTAGTACTAACCACAAGCTCCATCAATTCTGGTTCCGACATTCCTTCCTCTCATTAATTTGGTCCTCGTTTTTGTAAAATGGACCCAGAGTTTTGTCCCAATTTTACCACTGAATTTTTGAACTTGAGACGTGGGATTTGGAGTTTATGACACTTTGCTTTCACTCTCTGACACATCTCCAACCCGGATGATCCCTTTCCTTTGGCATTTACTGACGGGTCCCCTCAGGGGGAACACGGTGCAGCCAGCGTCCCAAAGGCCCACCAGCCTGTTGGACTGGGATGCCAAGGCTCTCATCACCACCACCAATATAGCCTCTCAGCACCACTGAGGCCTCCTTGTACCGCCTTTTCTCTTTCATGAGACTTTGTTGTCATAGCAACCCATGGGGTCCTATCCCAAGGCCCCAGAGCCATTGCAAAGCACGGCCAGAAAGAGAGGGCTGCTGCTGCTGCAGCCGCTGGCCCACTTTCACCTGGCCTGCTTCTGAAGCTCCCAGTTCCCCCTCGGGTGACCTTACTTTGCCCCTAAAGAGACAGTACATGGAATCTAGGCCACACCATCTAACGCCTTCCCTTTTCAAAGGGAATGGAGGTTCAGAAACAAGAGGTGACTTACTCCAGGTTACAGATTCTCTCGTGGCAGAGTTGCAATTGGGACACCAGTGTCCTGACTCCTGCTCTTTGGAAACCCGGCTTCCATGGGCTGTGCCGAAGCATTACAGAGGTTGCCCTTGACGAGGCGCCAGCGTGCCTCAGCATATCCTCTGCTCCCGGGCTGCTGAATGGGCAAGTCTGCCCACGTTTCCTGGCAAGGACACGCGGAGCCCAGGCCCGCTCTGTCCCGTGGGGTGTTCGGAGGATGGCGCTGGCTCTCCGGTACGCCCACATGATCTGGAATGACAGCCGTCCCTCTGGGGACGGTTAACGACCAGAACCACGAGGTTACTGCAGCAGCCGTGTCAGGAAAATCCGAGAGGAGCCCCACTGGTGTCCAGTGAAGAGTGTGCGCACGGCTGATGCCACTTTTCCTCACCTAGGCAACCAGTGTAGCCCGCTCCACTCGCCTCTCTCCTCCACTGCCTTGCCCCCCGTGTCCTCCCCTGCTAGCTCTCAGTCTCTTTCCTCTCTTGCTTATTCCTCTGAGCCCTGAATTCAGATTGACTAGTGGGACACCCCGGCTCGTTTCCCATTTCTCAGCTGTTTTCCGGTGCCCACGCCCTGGCCCGCGCAGGCTGCCCAGGAGCCTCCCCTCAGCTGACGGTGCTCGTGATGGGGGTGAGACTGGACTTTCTCAGGAATGCGACCTGACCTCGCTGCCCTCGCCTGGGCCTGTTTGTCTTGCCTCCAGCAGGGGACGAGGACGAGGATGAGTCCGGCGAGGAGAAGCTGCCGTCCTGCTTTGACTACGTCATGCACTTCCTGACGGTCTTCTGGAAGGTGCTGTTTGCCTGCGTGCCCCCCACGGAGTACTGCAGTGGCTGGGCCTGCTTCTTCGTCTCCATCCTCATCATCGGCGTGCTCACGGCCATCATCGGGGACCTGGCCTCCCACTTTGGCTGCACCATCGGCCTCAAGGACTCGGTCACAGCTGTTGTTTTCGTGGCGTTTGGCACCTCTGTGCCAGGTGAGAGTGCAGGATGCTTGGGTCTGCAAAGAGGACATCACTGGGCTCAAGTGACCCTTTGCCTCATTATTTCCCTTACCAGCTCAGATCTGAGCTTAACAGACCCTCTGCCGCTCAGGTGCACAGAAGTCAACCAGAGGTTAATGATGACATCACTAACGATAGCTAACATTTCTCGAGCACCTTGATGTGTCAGGCACTAAGCAGTTTCCATGTTTTGTCCCTGTAATGCTCACCACAATCCTATTCAATAGGGACAGCTATTATGCCCATTTGACAGATGAGGAAACGGAGGCCCACAGGGGTTAAGTTACCTGCATAAGTGACCCAGTTTAGTAACCTCCACATTATATGAATAGACCGCAAACAATGTAATTCAAAGGATATGGAGATTGTTCTCCTTCTATCTCCCTCTGGCAGTCCCTGAGAGGCTAAAGACTAGCCTGCTTGAAGGTGTCACAGTAGAAATTCCCACAAGTATTCTTGGCCTCCTCTGCTTAGAAGGACATCTGTGAGTACAAAGTGTCTTCCACTGGATCAGATGAAGGAAGCTTAGAACTTCTTTGCTTTCTCACAAACACCTAAAGGTAGACAGGACAGGCATGCACTTATTCATTCATTAGACAGATATTTGCATATTTGCTGAGACTGATAGAGCCTTGTGCTAGCTGCCGGGGCTATAGTGGGAAGCAAGACACACACGCTTCTCCTCTCCACATGGACTTACAATCTAGTGACAGACAGTACACTCAGCTCCTGTAATTAAAGTCATCTCGATAAGGTCTGTGAAGAGGAAGTACAGGTGCTGTGCAAGCATAAACAGGGGGGCGGGGGCGGGGGGGGGGCATGGGGGGGCGGGCGAGGCTGGGTCAGGGATGGCTTCCAAGAAGGGATATCTGAAAGCTGGGCTGGGGTGACGAGTGGCATGAGCAGAGAGACGGGGGCTGCATTCGCTCAGGCTTCTTACTTGAACCCTGAACTCCTGCTGGCCTGGCAGTTGCTACAGGAAGAGAGAGCATCCTCTGTAAGAGGGGTAGGCTGAGTCTCAGCAGACAGGACTCTGCTAGTGGGATCAGGGGAACCCTCGGGACCAGGGAAACAAATCCTCTGAACAGTAAGTGAATCTGCATCACACTCTGGCAGAACCTCTTCCCCACACCACAGCACAGACCTATGGGATTATTTACACATTGGTGATGCCAGAGGTCTGGCTATGATGGAAATGCATCCGGTGATAGACAGTAAGATGGATGATCCAGGGAAGGCTTTGTGGAGGATGCGCCTGGTGATCTCTGTTCACCAGGTCTCGAGGCACCAGAACTATTGGAGAGGAAGGAGCAGAAATGGGGGAAAAGGAACAGATGTGGGAAGAAATTGCCAAGGATCAGAGGCAAAAAGCAAGGTCATAGTGAGCAAAGGCAAGAAGTCTTCCCTGGGAGCTCTGAGAAAAGTGGCAGCAAGGAGGCCAGCCAGGACAGCAGCGGGGGAGTGGGGGGGGGGGACTTCCAAGTTCTTGCAGTTGGTCCAGGGAACAGCTGGCAGTGTTAGGGGCTTGAAGAAGGTTGTGCCATGGTCTCCTCAGCTAATTCTGTGGCTTTGGCTGAAACTCTTTGGATGTAAAGTGATGGTACGGGAGGCTTTTAGGATCAAATCTCTTGCTGATTTCCCATTTGACCTTGGGTAGATTCTTTGACCCTTATTTTCCTTCCTTGTAAAATAAAACAGTGGCTAGATAGTCCCTGACAGTCCCTCCAGACCTACCCTCCATGCCCACATCCAGGGCCCTGTGCTAGACACCAGCTGCGAAGGCTCACCTGCACGTCCCCATCGCATCTCCCCAGTGTGTCCTCTGTCCCCGTGAACCCAGCACCTGCAGTGCTGAGCCCACGGGCACTGAGCAATAAGCTGTCTGTGTTACGTGAGTAAAATGCCCCAGGTGACACTCACAGTCAGGCCTCTACTCTGAGCAGCTTCCCAGGATGTCAAGGTTCCCCAGGGAGGTATTATGGGATAACAAACTTCTCTTACTGAAAACAAACAAAAAAAATAGTCAAAAGGGAACAGCAAACCTACTTGGTAAACCTCAGGACCACACAGGCCCTTAGAAATATCTCAGACTCCAACAGGTGAGGAATGGGAAGCTCAGAGAAGGGACGTGACTTGGCCAAGGCCACACGGCTTGTTAGTCGCAGAGCTGCCTCTGTTCCCGGGCTCGGCCCGCCGGCCCGAGCAGCCCTTTGGACAGACGCAAAGGCAGGCCCGCCTTGTCTCAGCCTGCCTTCAGCTCCCATCCGTCTCTGCCCTTTTCCAGATACCTTTGCCAGCAAAGCCTCCGCCATACACGACATGTACGCAGATGCCTCCATCGGCAACGTCACCGGCAGCAACGCCGTCAACGTCTTCCTGGGCCTTGGCCTGGCCTGGTCCGTGGCCGCCATCTACTGGGCCATGCAGGGAGAGGAGTTCCGCGTGTCTGCGGGCACGCTGGCCTTCTTCGTCACCCTCTTCACCATCTTGGCATTCATCTGCATCAGCGTGCTCCTGTACCGCAGGCGGCCCCACCTGGGCGGGGAGCTGGGCGGCCCCCGGGGCTGCAAGCTGGCCACGACGGGGCTCTTTGTGAGCCTGTGGCTCCTCTACATACTCTTTGCCACGCTGGAGGCCTACTGTTACATCAAGGGGTTCTGAGCCACAGACACGGCCTCCAGCAGGGCAGGCCTAGGACTTCTCCTGAGAGAAGGGCACTTCCCCCCAGGGACCTCCCCGGATGAGCAGCCCTGGAGAGGCGGCTTCAGGACCCGAGCCCCAGGGACTTCACCCGACCTCCACCTGGCGGTGATCTGAAAGGGCAGAGTCTTCATCAATCAGACAGAACGGGGGAAACACCGACACTACCAAGTATTTAATTCAGTACAAACCAACAGCAGCAACACATCCACCTCCACCCATCTCCCCCCGACCCCCCTGCCCCTGACCGGTAGCCAAGGTCAGATCCTTTCACCATCTTCTATTTCACCTTCTGATTACTCCTATGCTTCTACTGTCATCAGGGCAGGGTTCCTCCTGTCTGTCCATGCACCATTGTCCTCACTCACCTGGCGGGCATGGAAATAAGTCTCAGCCTTGTGGGGCTGGTTTGGGGCTCTCTCTTCATTGGAATCATTATGGTGGCTGCTTTCGTTTTCCCGTCAGGTTTTGCTCGTTGTTAGTTCATTTTGTCTTTTCTTTCTGACGTTAGTGACAAAGGTGCTGTGGAGGAACCCAAGGGTTGAGCTGATGGGCAGAGGCGTGAATTGTCAGACACAGGCTTTCCCACTCTCAGCAGGTGACAGCTGTCTCTCAGCCCCACCGAGGTCCTGTCCCCCATCTCCTGTTCGTCTCTGGGTGGAAGTGATCTTGCACACCCACGCGGGGCACCAAAGATCCGGGTGGTGGCAGGAGCAGGAGGCGTTTCCTCTGCTGATGTCAAAGTTTAAAAGAAGCAGTCATCGTTCTCTTCCTTGCCCAGGCCTTTCAAATTCTGTCTCGTGCTGTCCATGTCTATATGTCCTTTCTTCTGCAGGAGGGCCCACCCAACGGGAGGAAAGGGACAAAAATAGGAGAGGTGTGGGATGACAGAGGGCAGCCGGGGACACAAAGTGGGTGTTCACCTTGAGTATCTTTGGCTTTGTATCTGAGCCAGAGACTCGGGATGTCCCACTAGGGAGAAACTTAAGGGGAAAGATATTGAAAATGCCAGTGATTCTGAGAAAGGTCAGCTTCACCCCACCCCTCACTGTCTGAGGCACCGTACTAAGAGGTCTGACTGTATTTCTTGAGGAAATCCGAAAACGTAGAGGTTTATAAGAAGACAAGGGGCCCCTTTCACCTCTCCTGGACCCCGAGGCCACGTTTGAAAGCGTTTTCACAAGATAGGAACTGGAATTCCTCGCCGTCTCCCACATTCCTGCTTGGTTTAAAACCTCCCGAAGCTCTCCTTCCAGCCTGTGGGCTACTTCTCGTCCCAGTAGGAGGAATCTTAGTTGCCATCATCCCACGGAGCCCGAGTTTATAGAAAAAGAGATTGCCCTGCCCTCTAGAGCTTCTCCCAGCAAACTTTGAAAGGACCCGGCTTTAAACACACACACACACACACACACACACACACACACACACACACGAGATCACAAAACTGCCCACAGATCTCCAAGCTTTCTGCATTGACATAAATACATTTTTAAGGGGAAAAAATATTTAAAAACCTGTTTAATTTTAAACACATTTTTTTAAGAAAAAGAAATAACTAAAAAGAAACAGTGCTCATGTCATAAGCTATGTTGCCAGTTGCCAGTGGAAATGTTGGGTTGGTTTAAAAAAAAAATAAAAGCTATACTTATATCTCTCTGCATACAGCTTGCTTCTCCCCGTGTTTCTTCCGGAGCAGGTGTGGCTGAGGTGAAGGTGCGTCTCCTCTTGGTATCTCCAGCGTGTGTCTGTCGTCTCCTCAGATGCCAATGTGCCAGACCTGGTGTTTTTAAAGTGAAAGAACTTCGGGGATATTCCACTTGTCAGAGTCTAGACTCCAGGTGCTGGAGGACGTAAGCAGTGGAGTTGCGGTGATGAAAGGGGAAGGAGCTTTTTGTATTAGAAAGGTGTGGAGGGGCAGGATTCCAGCGAGGCAAGTGGTGCCCTGTGTTCATTACCAGTAGGCCTATTCATTCATTTGATTGCTCAGCATTCATTCAACAAATGTATTTCTGTGCATTGCAACTCCGTTCTGTTGATGCAGGAAGAGTAAGATAAAGTTCCTGACCTCAAGAATCTCACAGTCCCGAGCGGGAGGTAAAACTTCTTTTAACCAAAGCTCTTTTGGTTACAAGGAACCGAAACCCATTAAACTAGTTCAGGAAATTGAGGGAGGCAATATTGAGAAGACCTAGGGGGCGGGGCTCTGGCACCCAAGGCAGGAGGCATGGCAGGCCACAGGAGCCTGAAATCCTGTAGGGCCACTCTCTCCCTCCCCCAAAGCACAAGTCTCCCCATCTTTGCTTCCTTCTCCCTGTGGGCCTGGCCCCTCCCCTCCCAAGCTGCTTCTCTGCTTTGCTTGTCTTGCCCATGGTCCAGCACAGCCACCAGCCCCAGCGCTCTATCATGACCTCACAGTCCCCATCCCCAAAGGCCATTCCCAGAAAGCAGAACCCTTTGTAGAAGGCTGTGTCACAGTGGTTGGGGTGCCTGTGCACTGGTCCCTTTGGGTCAGGCGTCTGCTCCTGGTCTGAACAGCTCAGGTAAGGGAGGCTGGCGAGTGCACTGTATGCTCTAGTTCCCTTTCCCAAAGCTAAGTGATGGGAAGGAGCGATGGAGCATATGAGCCACCAAGGTGCAAAGGAAAGAGTTCTGTGTCAGGCGTAGTCTGAGGGGCATAAGCAGAGTGCCATGGGGACACAATGGAAGGAAACACTCAGCCTGGAACTGGGAAGGACTTCCCGGAGAACGTGACATTTACGTAGAATCTTGAAGGAAGAATAAATAGTGATTTGCCTTGGCGAGGGGGCTTGGTGTTGAAGGACAGACAAAAAAGGAAATAACACAAAGGTGTTGGGGGGGGGCGGGGTGAAATGGGATCAATAGTTAGCATGGCTAGGGTACGGAGTTCAACAGGACACAACCCAGCAAGGCAGGCAGGAGGAGGGTTTGGGTAAAGGCTTGTTTGGCTTTCTGACACTCATTAAATTTAAAATGAAAAGTGCCCTGTAGCCGATTAAATGGTAGACGTAAAATCATGAATTCCATTTGTACCCATATGTCCCCTTTTTGCAAGGAGGGAAGGAAGAGGGAGGGATGGAGGGAGAGAGAGAGAATAAGAAATTGAGTCACAATTATGGAGGCTGCCCCATTTCTGGGTTATTCAGATGTTAGGTTTCGTAAAAGAGAAGCTGGGATGAACCATAGAGAATGGGAAAGGGGGTTCAGAAGAGGAAGCGGGTACTAATCTAGATGCCACCACTAACCAGTTCTCAGAGCCAGACTGGTGCCCTCCCTGCCCTGCTAGACCATGTGGCTTTGCTCCTGACATTGTTGTCCCTTCAATGACACCCTTAGCTTCTCCTCAAGGAGTTATCTCTCCGTAATACAGCCCCTCATGACACCTTTGTTTGCAAAGGAATGTACATCTCATGGCGCTATTTCCACCTCATTTCACTGCCTCAGCAAGTAGATTTTATTATACTTTTCCCTAAACTGCTCAGATTTTAGATACTGACATGACACACTACTTACCATCACAGAACACACACTCTTCCACATTTAGTGGACTTTTTTGTTCATATATATCATGCCCCTCTTGTATACCAAATTAAGTGCCATTAAGAATACTAAGTTAAGGGTCTGGCTGTACCACAAGCTAAGTGTCAGATCTGAAGAAGGTCACAACTTACCAAGGTCCTGGACTGTTCATGCATGAGGATTAGAGCAGGTGATTTTCCAGGCTCCTCAGCACCAAAGTTCACTGATGATGCAGAGGAAGAGGAGGTGGAGGATGACTCACAGAGATTGAGCCCCAAGTTTGTACCAGGCACTGTGCCATGTACTTTACCCTCGTTGTCTCACTGAATCATCTTGGCCGCCCTGTGAGAAAGGATCATTGGCCCCATTTTATAGATGAAGAAACTGAGACTCGGGGTAGACAGGTGATTTGCCCAGAGTAGCGGCAATCAGAATGTGTACTTGGATCCACCCACCCTTAGAAACCAAACTCTAAACAAATGATTCTCCAAGTATAGGCCCCAGATAAGCGACATCAACATCACCTGGGAATTTATCATAAATGCAAATTCTCAGGTCCTACCACAGACTCTCCAAACTACTAGGGATAGGTCCCAGCAAACAGTGTTTAACAAGCCTTCCAGGTGAATAGATGCATGCTCATGTGTGAAACCCCCTGTTCCAAACCATTATGCTCTACCACCTTTCTATCTTTCTCTGTCTCTCCCTTTCCTTCTCTCTCTCTCTCTCTCTCTCTCTCTCTCTCTCTCTCTCTCTCTCATCATATTCATCTTATTACATGCTCAAATATGCAGATATCAATACTGCTCTTTAAGCCTCAGTGTCTATTGTATATCCAATTTTATCTTTAAATGTGCTAATTGTATAATTCTTCCCATATAAATATCTCAGTATATCTCAGACATTCTTTAAATGTTTTATGATAACTGCCCTCATTCAGGTTTGCAAGGTGTTCTAAGCCTTAAGGTGGTCACTCCAGTCCAGTAGAAGGAACAGACTTGAGAATTATTACAGTGTGGGTAGAAATATGTGCTAGGATGGATGATGTATGGACAGGCTGTAGGAGCCTGAAGCAGATTCTAAAGCAACACATAATGAACAAAGAAGTTGGGGATTCTTTCTAAAAGGAAGTGACACTTGGGTAGAGTTTCAATCATGAGCCACATGAAAATTATTGCTATCGTGGTCTGTTTGTTTTCATCTTAGTTCTTTATTTAAACATCAAAAAAAAAATCTTTTCGCCAACTCAAAGACTTTAGTTGACTGTTCCCCAATGACAAATTAAGAAAAAGCCCTAATTCAAATTGTCACCATATTTCCTCCTGAGAGCTCAGGGCTATAGCTGAGGTGAGGACAGGGTGGCTTGAGAGCATCTGGTTGGAAGCACTGAGATGCAGACTGGGCGAGCCATATGCTGAAGGACCAGGCATCACTAGCTGGAGGCGGAAGACAGAGGAGGTGCACACCCCGGGCTGGTTAGCAATGCTGCCTGGGGAAGTGGCTGAGAGCAGAGAGTGGCTCAGTTGTGAAGACCTGGGTTCCCGTCCTGCTCTCCTCGTCCGGCAGGGTGACCTTTACTATGTCACCTGAGGTGCTGAAGCCTTGTATTTTCCACTCATTTACATAATTAAGATACTATTATCTACCTTAGAGTTTGGGGGGATTAAATATATAAGTGATGCATCACACTGCCTGGCTTTGTGATCATGTGTTGCCATGGATGCTGCTGTTCCGGGAGGAAGCGTGAAATGTGAAGGCATTGAGCAGCGTGTGACACAGGGGGATGTAACATGTGCAACTGGAAGAGAACACTCAATGTGCTGGCAGCGGGTTTAGCTGGACGTGCACCAGTGAAGCGTGTAATACCACAGCAATGAAATGTGTACATTTTGCAGGAAAGTGTGTATGGGAGGAGTGGTTGAGGATCAGGACCAGATCAAGATTAGTTTTGTGGGCTAAACTAAGCAATTGTATTTATCCTGAAAGCCATGGTATTAGTCTGCTCAGGCTGCCATAACAGAATAAGACAGACTGGGTGGCTTAGACAACAAAAAGTTCTATTTTCACAGTTGTGGAAGCTAGAAGTTCACCATCAAGCTGCCGTCAGGGTTGGCTTTTGGTTTGGCCTCTCTTCCTGGCTTGCAGATGGCCACCTTCTCACTGTGCCTTGGCTCAGGTGTCTCCTCCTCTTTCTGTAAGGACACCAGTCCTGTTGGTTCAGGGCCCCACCCTCATGACCTCATCTATATTATAAAAAGTCAGTGGCTGGAATGCCGAAACGCCGAAACGACCAAATGACCAGTCACCAGGAGGTGCATTGATGAGTCCCACAGCAGTAGCCGCAGCGGCAGTGGCAGGGACTCCGGGTCTCGTGTGATTTTGTGCACTGGGCCTCTAGTTTAACCATAATTACCTCCTTAAAAAGCCTGTCTCCAAATATGGTCACATTGGAATTTAAGGCTTCAACTTATGAATTTGGGGGGACACAATTCAATCTGAGCTGTCTGCTTTAAAGGGGGTGGTTGAGGTGGGGAATGAATGGAGTGGAGACCACAGGCCATATACAACTATTGATTGTTGTTGGGAGCAGATGATAGGGGGCCCTAGGGGTGGGGAGGAGGGCACAGGGGAAAGAAATGGGAGGGGAATTTACAGGACATGGTGATGAACTGAATGGATGGGAGGAAAGGACATAGGAGGAGGCAGGGAGGGCTCTGGGCTCCAGGCCCAGGGAGAGTCTGGCTGGTGCACCAGCACTGAGGAGAGGTGGGTGGAGAGTGTGTGTCAGGCTGGAGGCATATTGAGTTTCGGGGCTTGTGGGACACCAAGTGGAAGTGTCTGGGAGCCAGGACTCAGCAGAGCCCGGGCTGGAGGCTGAGACTGACAATCTCAGTAGCAGATTTCAAGTGCCGTCGAGATTCTCCTGATGGCTGTGCTGCAGGAGTGAAGAACCCTGTGTGCTACCGAAGCTATAAGGTTGGTGCAGCTTCTCCTGGTCTCTCCTGACTGGTTCTCACGAGGCCTTTAGCAATGTGCCCATTGTCTTGTGGGAGGATCATGGACCATTAGCCAGAGTCAAAGCTTTGGGTAGGAAGACTCCAGGCAAAGTGACCTTCACCTTATTAAAGAGTGCACCGTGTTAAAGCAAAAACCGGTGGTGCAGACGGGAGGTCTGCGGCTGCATCGATGAGGTGTTGGCGAGGGTCCGAGAGTTCGCCTAGAGTTGACAAGAAATGACAAGAGGTGCCTGGGTTACACAGGCTTTTAATAGGCAGGCATATAACCAAGGCAATGACCCTCCTCCCTATCAGTTCATGGAAGGCACAGGAAGAGGTGCAGTGACCCCTAGAATTGCGGGCTGCGTTTGATGGCATTATGTGAAAAAGTTAGCTCTGCCTGTCCTCACCTCTAGACGGGGAAAGGCCGATGCCGCAGGCAGAAGAGCAGGTGCCTGGGAAAAGCAGCCTCCTTGGTGGGCCTTGTAGGTCATTTGGAAACTTGGGAGTAAATGACCAGAGGATCAGCCTGGCTTTCTCTGGGTTTGTTTCTACAAGGGATTGGTGCTGCCCATCTCCCATCTCACCCAGGAAGCCAGGGTGGGTACCGCCTGGAGGCCCCTCCTCTGCTAGCATCATAGGGGCCCCGACAAGACGCCTGGCCCTGCAGCCGTCATCTGTGACATCCCGACTGAAAATGCCCAGTGTTCCCCTCCCCACAGGGGCTAAGCCTGGCTCAGGGCCTCGGTGCAGGAAGAAACTGGGTGGATGGATCTTTCACTTTTTCTGGACTCTTGGCCCTGCTGCCAGTTGGTTGTTGTTTTGTTTTTATTTATTTATTTAAGAAAGCGGTGGAAAGCTAAATGGGGCCTCCAGCCAAGTGTGAGCTCAGACCCGCCCCCTTCCCACACCAGGCTGGTCTCTGCTGGAGGCTAGGTCACCCCCAAGTCTCCCAATGAGGTCCCGAATGAGCAAATACCCCCTTATTTCTCTTCCCCAAATCCCTTAAGCGTAGGATAGTCCTCTGCAAAGGCTTTTAATGAGCCTCTAAACTGCTCAGAGAAAAAAATGCTCTCACAGCTGAAGGCAAGCACCCAGGGCCAGAGCTGGACAGGAGGGAGCAGGTTGCTGTTCTAGCCCCTCAAGGAAGGCAGCTGGGGAGTGGGCGGAGCTCTGGGCTGGGACTCAGAAAACCTGAAGGTGATCCCTGGCTCTGCCTTTCCCAGCTGGAGGCAGCCGGCAACTCACTGAACCCCGGAGTCTGAACCAACGTGTGAATGGGGAGCCCGTCCTGCTGGGCTGTGGTGGGTGTTAACTATGACAGGGCCTGCGACACAGCACAGTGTCAGCACTAGAGGAGGAGGGACCCCTGTGACAACGTTCAAAGGGGTAGCCCCTTTCCCAAAGATTGGGAGACGTTTTCAAGGGGAAATACCTCCTGTTCACCTGCACGTGTCAAGGCCGCAGAGTATGGCAAAAGGATGTGGAGGAGGTGAGGAAGCCCTTTCCCGGGACAGCTGTGTGTAGAGACGGGACAAGGGGAAAAGACGCCGGGAGCCCTGGAGAGAATGGAGAGCCTCGTCTTTGCTGCCAGTCCTCACCTGAAGTCCTCCCGCTCTGGGAACCACCCCAGCTGCCTTGATCTAAACGTGTTCCCCACAAAACCAGGACCCAGCTGGCAGAACCCCACTGGGGAGCTGTTCCCTAGTCTAAAGCTGCTTCCCAGCCTGGGGTCTTGCAATCTGGATTGCAGCCAATGTGCCCACTCCCACCCACCAGCCTGGAGCCATGGGATGGGCTGTCCTCCCCCTCCAGTTCCACCCCCAAAGCACAGCCAGTGATGTTCTGTACTTTCTAGGATGGTTTGGAGGGGGCAGCTGAATGGGTGGAGGCCAGAAGGAGAATTACAAAGAGGACACAGTGTAGGCAAGGGCAAGGGGACCAGTCAGTGTCCTCCCAACAGAGTATGGTGCCACCTCGTGGCCACATCTGGGTTCCCTCCAGCCGCTGGGACTTCCTAGGATCAGTGTGGAGGGCACCCGAGCCGGGGACAACTGGACCTTTTAGGAAATTATGCGCATCCAGAAGCCACCCAAAGAAAGAGGCAACAGCCACCAAGGTTTACCCATTTTTATTTGTCATAAAACAAGCTACAAATAGTGTCCCTCCCTCCTCACAAAGGAAAAGCACACAGCACAGCTACACAGGCGAGGAGGAGGAAGCCTGGGGGAGAGCTGGGTTTCTCCAGAAGGCACCTTCTCCGTGTTGAATGCTTCCTGCAGGCCCAGAAGGGGGCTGGGTCTCCCGGCAGGGCCGTCCAGTGCCAGCACGCCCAGTTCTCGGGGTGGAAATGGGCGAGGGCTGCCTTTCACGTCCCCATGTTGGGATAGGGCCTCCAGTCATCTGGAGATGAACTCTAGGACTTTCTCCAGGACAGCCAGAACCTTCAGACCATGTCACAAAAGGCCATGCTCCTCCCGGAGGGCCCTCCCCCCAGTCAGGCCTTGAGGGGCCAGCTCTCCAGACCCAGGTGGGATACACCGTCTGCAAGGTGGGTGCACCTATGGGAACATTGGGACGCGATGCCAAAGAAGGCCAGATTCGCAAGAGCAAGCCCCGGGGGACCCGCCCTCCCTCCCTGCTGTCACAGCTGCTCCTGGGATGAGGCGCCAAGTGTCACTTGCTCTCTGTCTGAGGGGGCATGGTCACCTGGGCAGAGGAAGCTGCTCTGCCCGAAGGCGGGGCAGCCCCCACTGGAACCCTGGGAAAAGGTCTGACGAAAGCGAGGCCAGTATTCCCCCAACTGGGTTATTATTCCTGCACTCCCAGGAGAGACAGAAGTAGGAGGCCCAAGGTCAGGGTCGAGCTGGAATTGGCCTCAAGCCTGGAAGCCCTTAAAAGCATTTGAGGAAACAGGAAGAACCTCAGGGTTAAAAAATAAAACCATTCGGTTACCTACAAGGTGCGGGACCCCACTCCTCCCCCAGGCTGCGCTGATCACTGAGATGGCAGGGACGGGGAGAGTGGAGGGAACACCCAGTGGGACCTGGCAGCCTAGGAGGGCCAGGTCTCAGAAGCCTCCCCTGCGGGCCTGCAGGGGAGGAGCCCTTCTGCGGGCCCTGCATTCGCCAACGATGCTTTCTGTCCTCTTCCTTCCGCTGCTTAAATACTGACCTCTAAATAAGAGCCCCACTGTGTGCCTTTTTCCTCTTTGCCCTCCCTCTCATGTTTTACAGAGTAGGTACTAAATGTGGGAGAAATGTTGATGCAAATCCTCTGAGGACATCTGCACGGGGGGTCACTAGAATCCTGGTCTGCCTATGGGCCCAGGGCCACCTGGGGGTCTGGGTAACAGGGGGAACTGGTGTCTGAGCTGCCTATTCCCCTCCCTCCACCTCTCCCCCAACCCAAGCTCCCTTGAGAAGGCCAATGGTGGTGTGGCTTGCCAACCTTGACAGCTACGATGACGTGGGGCGATTCCCTCCTCCCGCCAGAAAGGACTGGGGGAGTCTGCAATATAATCACAGGCCCCCACCCATGTGCACACGGGGTCAGTTTCCAAACAGAATGCAGGTGGGCTGGGGACTCAGCCCTGGGTTGTAGGAAGCTGGGCCGTGTGGCCGGAGCTCCCACACCCAGAGCAGGGAGAGGGAGGGAATAAACAAACAGCAATGCCAATGCCTGTACAAAAGAACTATACAATTTACATATATATTTATATACAGTATATAAATCTCTTTCTTCTCAGTCCTGCAGCACCTCCCTCCCACCCCCCAAAAAACCCCTAAAAGTTGTCAGTAGCAGATCCAAAAACTTACAATAAGAGAGAGAATAAACAATCATTCTTCCCTTTCCTTTTCCCACTGTGGTATTAGATATTGGTGTTTACAAATGAAACCAAAAAGAACACACGCAAATAAGAGTTATTAAAAGTGCAAACAGGGTGGGCACCACTCATGTTACATGGGATGTGGCTGGGCCGTGGCAAGGTCGAAGGTCAGGCGTCTGGTGATCCGTCCTGCCTCCCGGGTCTCGCCACCTGCCCTTTGGTTTTCTGCTTCTTAGACGAGGCGTCCTACTGAGAAGGGGCGATATAAACAAGAAGAAGGTAGAGCTGGGTTTATGAGAAAGCCAACTACATGGATCCATTTCCCCCAAAGAGCAGCCTTTTCCACCTGCTGCTAGATATGGGGCGGGGCAGGACACAGGTAGCCTAGACTTGCAGATGAGCCCATGTTTTCACCAGCCCATTCGCTGCCACCAGGAGGCATCATCACATGGCAACTGGAACAAGGTTGGCTTGCTCTCTGCACAAACCACACTCGTCCCAGATGCCAGCCTTTCACCCGGGGCTGGCAGAAGCGGCCGGTGCTCATCTACAGGTGGGGATGGTGGGATCCTCACAGCACTAACCAACCTTTCTCCTGTATCCTCAGCAAAAAGAGAAAAAAAATTAAATAGGAGGCTAGGTCCTTGGCCAATCCCTCCACTCCCGCTGCAGAACCAAAGCTGTGTGAGGGGGCCCATAGAGCAGACCCCAGAAAGAAGGCAACTTACTGAATGGGTTTGTGCCTGCTCGTTTTCCCTGGGGGAAGCTGCCAAGACTACCACCTGCAACAAATAGGAACATATGACGCTCGAGTGGCCTTGACCCAGGGAACGGGCAGAGCTTCTTCTCCATCCCCTCCAGCCCCAGAAGGAAGTGGACGAGGGAAAGAGCCAGGGGTTTCGCTGTGCTCCCGTTCTGTGGGTGTCGGCAGCCCTGCTCTGCCTGAGTGAGCTCATTGCTAGCCTATACCTTTAAACAAAGTCCCTTTTCCATCAGGCCAGGCCCCACTGGGGGCCTCTCTGTTAGCTCAGAAGAGCTTTGGTGCCGATGGACATGTGCATAACCTTCTTGGTCCTGGTTCTCCAAGTCACAGAATGTCAGAGGTGGAAGCATCTTTGCGACCACCTGGTCCCTCCCTTTTACTTGACATATCTGGAAACCGAGGCTCAGAGCAGTTGAGTGACTTGACCAGGGTCCAAGGTGTGTTCTGTAACTCCCTTTCCGCCCCACAGGGAGGCTCCTGCGGGGCCCAGGTCTTCTAAAGGAAGAGTGGGCAGCTGGGAGGCAGCACACCAGGAGTCATGTGACTGGAGTCATGTGACTATGCATGTCCGCCACCCTCTGGGTTAGTCTGAAGAATGGGAGTTAGGGCCAAGGCCCTGCTGCTCCTGCTCTGCCTCTCATAGGACTGCCCTGAGGATCGAGACTCTGTGGAGGTTGAGAGAGGGCTGTGAGGAGTATGAAGCGTTGTGGGATCCACGCCACCCGCTGGCCAAGTGAGCCCACTGTCCCATGTGCCTCCAGTTATGCTAACCTTCCTGAAGACCTGAGCGGGAGAGGACACGGGGTGGGCTGGGGCACGGGGCAGATGTTGGTAAAGCCAATTCTACATGGAAAGACAGGCAGCTGGGAAGTGGCAGAGCCATCTTCCATGGACTCCAGCCAGCAGCGCTTCTCCCAGTAGTGAGCTGAGACCTCCGCACCTAGAGGCTCCCGCAGGCCCGCCCACCCGCTGAGACTAGAAGGGACTCACAGCCAGCAGCAACCAGCTCGCCACCGCGCTAGTCCCCTCACCTAAGTCCAGCAATGCATTCCTCAGAGCAATTGTATGTGATAGTTAGAAAATGGTCACATTGTCCCCATAGGAGGCTTGGAGATGGCACAGCTTTTATGTGGCGAAGCAAACTCAGACCTGGCTCTGCTAACGAACCACCAAGGAGGGCAGCGGGCAACAGGGGCCTGACCCAGAGCAGGCGGCATCCAGGGCAATTCAAGGGCAAGTTGCCATTTTTCAAAAATGGAGGAACTAGTCTCCACCCTGCCTGTCTCACAGGATGGTGACAATATTCCTGACAAAGGTGCTTTATAAACTGGGAAGGGCCAGTTAAGAAAGAGGCCTAGACTTTTTCTGCTACAGAGAATTTCGCTCCCAGTGAGGAGTCTGGTTGCTAAAAATACCCGTGTTCAGGAGTCATTTCCAAAAAATTTGGTCCCGCAGACCCAAAGCTACATTCACCCCCAGACACTGCATCCTTCCCCAAACCCTTCCGTGCCCCCATCTGGCATGCAAGCCCCTCTCAGCCCACCAGAGGGCAGCACATGACACCAGATGACCAAGGCAAGGGCTCCATTCCCTACAACCATCAACCCAAGTGGCCTTCCGAGGCTCCTAGAGCAGAGGGACCAGGGAAGTTGCTTTCAGTCCGTGGGTGTGTGCCCCTATTACTACTAATTTGCTTTTGTGCATTCACCACGAACCAGGTCTGGGCTAAGTTCTTCACATGCACCATCGTGTTAAATCTAGGAAGTAAATAACATCATCTCCATTTTGCACGTGAGGAAGCTGAGGCTCGGAGAGTGTAAGTAACTTGCTAAAGATTGCAGAGCTGGTAAGAGGCAGAGCTGGAGGCTGCCTTCAGGGCCTGTGCAGCAGCCGGGATTGTCAGACACCTGGTGCCCAGCAAGGACTGCGTGGCCCACGAGGTCACCACACTCTGCCTCCTCTAGGCCTGGGTGCTGTGTGGACCATAACTACCCTCATGGGCAGGGGACCAAGGGCAGAGCTGCTACAGACCTCTGTGTGTCCATCCCTGCTCTGCTCAGAAGTGCTCCTGGCTAGGCCTGGGTCTACACTAACACTGGGTGGTCTCTTTCTAATACTGGCCTCTGCATGTGCTCTGTGAAAAAAGCACAGATTCCACATGTGTCGAAGCAGGATGTCACCACAAGGGGCAACCCCCTCATCTATTCATTCACTCATTTGACAAGGTTCTAATGGACTGCTACCAGGTACCATGCACGATGCTAGAGGTAAGGAATTGAAATGGTACATTCCATGGCTTTCAGGGGAAACAGAACAGTAAAGTGCAATACAGTGTGATAAGTGCTACTGACAGAGGCAGGAATCTCATGAAGAAGAACAGTAATACTGACATTCTATTGAGCTTTCTCAATGTCTCGGGCATTGTGATAAATGCTCTCACTCACTGTCTCACTGAATCGGCCCAACAGCCCTACGAGGTAGATGCTATAGTTATTCCCATTTTACAGATGGAGAAACTGGAGCCCGGAGGGGCTGAGTAGTGTGTGTGTGGCAGAAAGAGCTAGTCTGCAGCAGAGGCAGGGTTTGAACCATGACACTGGTGACTCCCAGAACTCTGGGGACACAAAGTGGCATCCTCACCGGATGGAAGTGCCCAGAGTGATGAGGTCACTCACCCCAGAACTGGGGCCAAAACCCAGAGATGTAGGGGGCAGGTCCTGAGACTGGATACCTATGGTGACTCAGCCACTGCCCATGCAGTCCCCGCGTTTCCACCATCCACTGAGGGTTAGAACAAGGACAAGGCCTTGGGTCTCCTCCTAGGTGACACCTTTCCCAAAGCTTGCATTTCAAATAAGTCAGCATCACCCAAGTCAGTACCATCAGCCCAGACCCTTCACCTGCTCTACTGATCGTCTCATCTTCGGGCGCATCCCACTTGACACCCTAACATGCTCGGTGCCTTCCCCGGCCCCTATGCGCGCTCTGCTCTCCTTTCTATGCCGCCCACCTCAGTGAATGGACCCCTGTCCAGCTGTCCATCATCCCCATCTCCACTCAGCCACCACGTCCTGCCTCTCTCAAACCCACCCACTCTCTTCATCCCCAATGGCTTTCTCATAACTTGGGCCTCCCCCACCTCCTGCCTGGACAATGCCACAGCCTCCTGTTGGGTACTGGACCTTGTTCATCTCCATTCTGTGTCCCACGCTGCAGCCAGAATAATTTTTTAAAGCAAAACTGATCTATAGTTTCTCACACTGAGCCCCTTCAACAGCTTTCCACTAACCTTATAAAGTTGAAACTCACCGTGCTTCCTGCCCCGCCCCTCTCCTGCCATCCTCAGACATTCGCTGCAGCCACACTCACACCTCTGAGTTCCTCTCCCCCTCGGTGTCCTCACCACTGCACTTGCCCTCTTCCTTTCCCCTCACCTGGCCTGTCTGCTTCGCCAGCTCCTACTCATTCCTCAGGCACTGGTTTAGACCAGGGTTGGCAAACTTACCTGTGAAGGACTCCATAGCAAGTAATTTAGGCTTTGTGGGGCATGTACTGTCTCTGTCATTCCTTCATCTTTTTTTTTTTAAAACACTTGGAGTGCGGGTGAATTTCCCGCCAAAATATAAGATGGCTCTGTCTTTTGGTTTTGTTCCATCCACCAAAAGGGTGGATTACAAACAAATATTTGGTAATACGCAGTTACAATCGGCCCGAGTTTACACGTTTCCCGCACTCCACCGCAAATCTATATGAACCGAGTTAAAGACGGCTCCCGCGGAGTACGCGCAATTCACGCGAGCCGACTTAACTCGTTTCCCGCACTCCAAGTGTTAAATACATCCCTTTAAAAATACAAAAATCATTCTTGCTCACAGACTATATGAAAACAGGCCACAGACTAGACTGGGCTTACATCCAGGGTTTGCGGATCCCTGGTTTCGACATCAGTTCCTTCAAAAAGTTTTCCAAGGCCGTCTGGCCCCACGCTGATGGAGGTGCCCCTACCTATGTCCCTACGATATTCTGTACTTGTCTGCCTGTGACAGGGAAAATTAGATGTTGGCCAGACTCCATCCTCTCCTCCTCCTCCTGGGCTCCCAGCCTTCTTTACTGTTGGGTGTGGTCCAGTGACTGAGTTCTGGCCAGTGAAATACGGGAGGTGACGTGTGTCACTTCCAGGCTGGCCCATAAAACTCCCCACGTGCACTGCTCCATGCTTTACCCCTGACTGGGGATGCAGATGACCCCATGGCGACCTTGGAAGCCACCTGATAAAGATGGCACAGTCACTCTTAGCCGGGATTTCAGAGTAAGGAGCAATCCCTGCTCCTTCCTTCCCCTACTCACCACACACACACACACACACACACACACACACACACACAGACTTGGAATCATGCTGAACTATTACGTGGAAGAGACACAAATTTCCACTGTGCTGAGCCATTGCATGTGTGGGTCTGCACCTGGCCTATCCTAACACACTCTCACAGCACTTGTCACAACATCTGTAAACATTTGCATATCTGAGGAAGGATGGGGACCTTGTTCATCACTTCCTCCAGTGTGCAGGCATCTACCATGAAGCATAGCATCCTCCCAGGACACAGCTGAATAAATGAGTAGCTGGGAGTCCACTGATTGGAGAGCCCTTGGTCCCTGAGCCTGGTGAGCCACGTATTGGAAGACCAAGAGCCCAGGGGGAGCACTCACCTTCTTTGCTCACACCCAGGCAGCCCTTCAGCTCAGGCAGCGAGATGACCTTGTCCTTGTTCAGGTCACAGTAGTCGGTGAAGCGCCGGGCGCATTTCTTGGGCTTGGCTTTCTTCTTCACATAGCGCTTGAAGGGCTTCATCTCCCGCTTGTTGATGTCGTTGCTGCTGTTGCTGTCCAGCTGGCTGAAGTACCAGTGCACCACTCGCTCCTCCAGGGTGTGGCTGGGGTCCGGCTCTGAGAACCTGGGCCACGGGCAGACACCCCCACCCCAGAGAGCACGGCTCAGATGCCATAGGAACCATCAGCCCCACCAGATTCTCTCCCGTAGCTCAGGTGGTGGGCTGCGGGCAGCCAGGAAGACATGGCTCCTCCAGCCAGAGACCTCCCAGACCCGCTCAGCCTGTAGAGAATCAAGCCATCTTCTCCAGCCTGAGTCTCCAGCCTGGATGGTTCAAGTCCAGTGGGTGACTTTATCACATGAATCTGCTTCACTTTCTACCATAGCCATTCTTGTACAAGATGGGTGCTCAGACATACTG